ACCGGTAATAGGCACTGTGGATTATATAAATAAATCAAATAAGTAGAAGCTTGTTATTCCATTCAATAAAAAATTTACAAGACGCAAATGCTCAACTAGGAAGATTTAACGACAGTGAACGCCTAAGGTTTTACACTATCAAAACATGATGCCCCATATTTCTCCAGTGTAGCAGCACTTAAGTGATTAACCATTTCATTTTACCACAGCCCATCAAGCAATGTGCAGGCTTTATGGGAATTACAGTGCGTTAATCTGCTAATTGGCAAGAACTCTAGTTTATGGCATGCAAACGTATGAGTTCAATCTGGATATCGACATCTGCATTGTGAGCGAAACCCGATCCATATCTCGCCTCCAGGGGGCAAAATTTTAGAGTTTTATAGCACAGATGTGTAAGATGAATCCATGTACTTACAGGGCTATTGCATTACCTAAGTGAAGCATTTTTTATTTAATTTGACAGTGTGTGTACATATTACTATATGTTTATAGATAGAAGAAAGTATTTTAGGAAACGCGTAAATTTTTCTAAAACATCAACGAAAAATCAAAGAGCATCAAGTTATAAGCAGCAATAGCACACACCATAACTGCACAACTTCACTCAAGGCATGAAGCAATAAATTAAAATATATTTAAAAGTCAGCTTTGCCAATTTATACAGTTTGCGGAAAAATGCGATTTATGCTGCAGCAACTTTGCAAATGTCATCTGTACGATAGGGCAATGTATTTTGAGATTAGCAATTGTCACATTAATTTAGTATATTTGGACACCTTAGATTACGCTACTTGCTGCACTCCAGCTATTTATGTTCACTGCCTAAGTTAAGCTTTTGTCAAGTTTCCCACAATTTGAAAGCCTAAATAAATAATATTCAGTATCATAACATTGATAAACTCTTAGCATTCCTGTTGCTGGGAAGCTTCCTGGACTCGAATTCAAAGGGGAACCGAGATACACTTCTTAAAACATGTGATGAGCTGGCCTAAAATGGTTTTAAGAGAATATTTTTAGATATAAATTCCTGGGGCATAAAAATAGACCAGTGATATCACAAGCACAACTTTTACTTGATAACGGCTCCCCAACTATGAACTGTTCTTATTTGCTGTTACCACAGTAACGTTTCGAGGTCGGGTTTCGATGAAAGTGCCACATAGATTTGAGTAATAATGGCATTGCGCTGCCACCATGATGCTACGAAAATGAGAAAATCATGGCGTATCGACGAAGTGAATGATGAGTGGGCGAAGCAGTGTGATCAATCAGTGTTACCATATATCACCCATGACATTGACAACTCACCCACTTAAATGAGTGACAAAGCGGTGTACAGTTATATACATAGCTTATTGGTCATGAATGGTATATTGTATTTAGTTTCATGTTTCTGGGCTTATAATTAGTTTATACAATTTCACAGTACGGGGTTCACATTTTGTAACATTTTCTGCAACAAATACTTGGGGTGCCGTGCTGAAATCTACCACACAAATGAAACAGGCTTTTTGAAGCCCAATTCAATTATGAGGCGTGCTGTGTTAACAACTCTAGCTTAACGAAGACCCCCTGGGTTTCTTTAATGCGCAACTAAACAAAGAAACAATGGAGCTTGAACACCGTCAGGTAAATTCTACAAATGCTCTTGCAACAAAACCACTTAATCAATGTGAAGTGAACGAACATTTAGGAACTGCATGAATATTAGCTACTATTTCTCACGCAATATTTTTTACAAAGACTGCCGAAGGTCAAAAGGTATCTTTACTCTCCCCTCCCCCCCAACAATCCTCTGGGATGAGTTTAACAAAGATAAAGGCACGAAGCTTACAAACCCTAGATCTAGAGAACAAATAGCTAAGGTTTGTAAAATGCGTCGAACCGCGGGTCAGCAACCAGCGTGGCAGTATCATGCGGCCCCGAGCACTATGTCATACCTCTCCCACTCCCCAATTAACGCCTCCCGAATATCGATGAACACGTCCACGGCTTTCTGCATGTGTCGTCGAGAAGCCTTGATGTAGATAATTGTGAGTTGGCAAAGAATATCCAGCACCAAAAGTTGCATTAATTTTTTTTTTCACCCTTTTAACCTATGTCTATCAATTTCAATTCTGTCACATGCGTACTGGAACTAAACATTCTTTCTACTCCAGTTTTGTAGCTCATTATTGCCAACTCACCAAATTTTTTTATTGTTGTATGCAAATACTCCCCCATCCCCCATTTGACATGTGGCCCCGGCCATGTTGGCTTCATAGAACTTGTCCCTCCGCTTCAAAGGGTTGCTGACCAGACGATAGCAAGGGAAAGAATTGAATGTCAACTTTATAGCATACTAAGTGAAAAAGTTAATGGGATAATGGGGGTTTTGTAAACATTCAGCTAATAAATTAGCTTTGAATTCTCGAGCAGTGTATAATACGTCAACTTCACCCTCTTTCTGTTTACTGCTAGCTGGCAGTCAACAAAACTGCTGTAATTTATTTATTTCTAGGTTACTTGTAGATTTGGCAGAAGATTGAGCTTATTTTCTATCGCAATTTAGGGAAATGAACTTGCATTTTCAATCTCTTCATTTGGCTGTGCATTTCAAAATAAATTGTCAAGGGCAATTTTTACAATAAGTCACGCTAATGTAGGACCATTGACAGAAGTTTGAGATTACGCTCTGCTTTATAGCGATGTTGATGTTTTATTTATTTTTAGGCCACTTTCTCAGCATATGAGACATGAGAGGTTGCGATTTCTACTTAGGGCAATAAAAGTTGGTACTAGAAAGAATTGCAGGAACTCTGAAAGAACAGCAATCATTAGAAATGCTTGCTTTTCAAAGAACAAAATAGTTTCACCTTGCATCCAACAAATCCACTTTTTTTTATAGCTGTTGGTTAGGAGGTACATAATATCTGGATTGAAATATAAGCCCCCAAAATTTATTCTATAGACAGGTATCAAATGGCATCACCAACTAACAAAATGAACTATACAAAATAAATAACTGTCTTTTTTCTTCACAACTATAAATTATCAAAGTTCTCTAGCAGCATTTGCCTTGCATGAATAGACATGACAAACGTTCAAGAAATAAATCAAAGCAATGTTTCATGGGAATGTCAGTGCCACAAGAATAATGATTGCCAAAATTGATTCATACAGAGACCCAGAAACCATAGATTCATGGTCACAATTTCTAACATAAGATCGCAGGATAGTCAACCACCATTGGCACATGTTACTATTTCCTTACAATGCCTTACTATAATGTGATGGTAAACCCTTTCATTGATTCATGTTACACTGATGTAACACACAGGTGCATAGGTATACCCGGGCGATGAAGACCCTGCCGAGTGTATGTACATGACCTCCGCAACAAACTGAGAGGACAACGCACTGACAAGAGCAGCAGGCAGAATGACAGTGCAGTGGGCAACAACCGCTAAAAGTGATAGCGTTGGAGCCAGCGGGTCAGTTGCCCCCTGAGGAAGAGACTGAACAGCACTCGAAATGCGGGACCAGTTTTTAAAAACTAGAAAGCTAACTTGGCTGGATAGTTTCTATTCTTGTAAACAAGCACTATCAAACATAAACACTGTGCAAGTCTCACCGAAGGTATTCATGAAGAAGAATACTGTTGCGTCTTGCAATCCCTTACAGAACGCTGCTTTGAGACATTTATTTATAGATCTTCTAAAACTTTGATGCAAAGCATGTTTCATTTTTGGCCGTAAACACAAATGCACTGCCACACTGTGAGGGATTTGTTTTACCATGCAGCCTGTTATTTCATTTTTTTTTTTTTTTCAAGGGCACATTTAGCATTTGGGTACTCAAGCAGGATGTGACAGGTGTTATGCTGCCGCTTATGGGGAGGGGGGTACTGGTGATTAATCATTAATATCCTGTTGGAAGTTCTCGCAGGGGGGGGGGGGGGGGCGCTTAGCCAGAAAAAGGGAAGGCATTATCAGACTCTTGTACTGCAACCTGATGGGGTTTTCGCAATAACCAAAGCGTCGTTTAACTTCTCGAAATCACTATTGGTTTTCCGCGAAGTTTTCCGTCAATACAGCCGTTCTCCGAAGCACCTCATCAAAAAACATGATTACAGCCTTCGCGAGCGTCGTCGCATCCAACAAAAGATTTTTTTTTTTTTCTCTCTGTCTCAAAGGAACTCGGAACGGCGCCAGCAGGGCTGTCGTTGAGTGCGCGGGATTCCTAAACAACGAAATTTCCTGCGCTCCATTACAGGACAAAAGAGAGAGAAAGACGAACCGTGTTGCCGAAATGACGAGCAGGCCACAACTTCTCTCGAGTATCGACTTTGACTCAATGACTCACGCGATCGTGCCGCTGGGAAAAGAAGCAAAAATAAGATGACCCGAGCGAGAAGAAAGGGAGAGAGAAGCACTCGAGGAACTGCGCCAAAACGTCGCGCGCAGGACCCTCCAGATCGACACTGCCTGGGAATAAGCTTTTTGGAGGACGCGACATGCCTGTGCAAAGGGCGTTGCAGTGAATGCCTGAGCAGGGGTGGTGAACGGATCGGAAAACACTGCGGCATCCCTCCTACGAAAGGCGCGTCCGCTACCCTTCTGAGTGTTCTTTTTTGTTTGTTTCTCTGCTCTCAAAAACGGGATGCTCACCAGTCGGGCCACCCGTGAAAAATAGTTGCGCGCGGCACGGCTGAATGAAAAAGGTCAGTTGCAGAGCGAGGAGCATTTGTGCACCGAGAAACAGGACATAAGATTTACGCAAAAAAAAAAAAAAACCGCGTGCAATACGGAACGGCTGATGTTCTACCTCTTATTCTAGGCATTCGTTTTTGTTATTGGGACGCTTCGAATGTTTGAAATACAAATGAAAGAGACGCGCAGACCGATCAACCGACTGACCCACCCGGCAACGTACTCTAATCGGCGGGTACGTTGAGAGAAACTGCAGGCAACGAACGGTGAGAGTACAACGGTGTCCAGTGAAACGGGGCTGCTTACCTCGTAAAGAAAAGCGCCGAAACATCGGCGGTTTACACGAGAGAACACCCAGCGCAAGAGTTTTTGTTGACACACTCGCGATGCAGTGATGTTACTCGGCCATCACAAAGCGACCGTTGCATCGCCTAGCGGTCGTTGCGGGAGGCGCTGGTTAAGGAGTAATCGCTGCGCACACACACTGAAATTTTGTAACTGTTATCTTTTAACAAACTTCACAGACATAAAAGAGGGTGTAGTATTTTACAAACATGAACTCTCCCCCCCCCCCATCAATGCCGCTCCCCTCACATTAAAGAACGGAGGCTTCGTCGCAAGCAGCGCATGACAAGCTCTTTTTCTCAGAAGACACGCATATTTATTCGTGTGGTTAATATATGTATTAATTGCGTAGTCAGAAATTTTATTCGAAGAGGGAGGTTCAACCACGCTTTCATTTCCATGCGTGTGTGTGCAAAACTGCAGACGCTATCTCCATGGAAAGCATGTTTATGTTTACGATACCGTTCCTCTTCAAGGGGAGCAAAGGTTTGGGCAGACCTTGCGCCCCCGCCCCTTCTTGGGTAACTAGGGAAAGCGGCCGCCCCTCTGTGCCCCCCGCCCTCTCTGTGCGCACGCTTTTGTTTACGAGTGAAAAACAGCGCTAAAGTAAAACGTACGGGACAAGAGAGGCCAAGGGACCACGTGGCCGTGGACCCGTGTCCTTTATTGTTTAGGCACTGCACCGTGCTCCCGACCGGATTGCAGAAATTAGGTGCCTTTTTCACATCTTCTAACCACTACCACCACCACCTTTATTGTCCCGCCTTACTTTAGCGCTGTTTTCGATATCATGAACCATGCATCCAGCAGCGCACGCGGAGCACGAAAAGAACTACACGCACGACAGGACAACCACTGCAGTTATCCTGTCATGTCGTTCCTTTTGTGCCTTAATCGATCTCATCAGATGGTCTGCGCATGCATCGAGTTTCCCACAACAGCGATACCGCCATCTTAGTTGGAGTACTCGGGGTGTTGCTGTGGCGGCTGCTTCCTGCGTGATCAAGTACTTTTGCGTTTTGCACGAATCCTCAGCTCATATGATGATTTAACGTGGTGAAAACCTGCGTCCAGACCTCCAGTGCATATGTTACTGTACTTCATATTACACAGCTGCATATCCTGGTGTTAAGAAAAGATCACTTCGGCACAAGGCCGAAGCCATATGCGATAGCAACAGATCGGGCTGTTCTACGAAGTGAGGCTAGGAAATTTAGGAACCGTACGAAATGTAGTGAACATGGTTCATTCTACCTGAATTGACAGTAATGCATTAACCACAGTATCTAAACAGATGCTGTTGCGGACAGATGTTGCATGACGTCCGATAGGAGGTAAGTCCAAGTTCGACATCGATAAACGTGACAAGCCACTGGTTCTCACGTCATATTAACATTGAAGTCTCCAGTTACTATCATCGGCACATCCTGTAGACACACCATAGGGACGTTGTGCAGCAAGAATGAGTTCATGATGCCAGTCCGCAAGGTTCGAGGTGAAAGTACACTATTGCGACGTCGACGTCGGCCATACGATTTTCTAATGGCGCAATCGTAACCAAAGTTAATCTGGGGCAGTTGAATTTGTCAGTCTAAAGCGATAGTGGCAGTGCGCGTTTCAAAAGGAACCGAATTCACGGGCATTGGACTTGGTGCGAGTGATTTTAGGGGCCCCTCCTAGCTCGTCGTGGTTCATGACCGCCTAGTTAGATGACTCATTCAGCAGGTGCGGACGGACACATAGACGGACGCTTCGCCCCACTCATCATCATTCACTCCATGGATAAGCTGTGATTTTTAGGGGCGAAGCTCCTTGTGGCGTGGCTTGTGCGTCCCTCGTAGTACGTAACCACCAGTGGCACATACCCGAAATAGCGGTTCTTACGATTTTGACCTCCAAGGTGGTTCCGGTGAGAGATTTCTTCTGTGCGTTGTTGAACAATAAAAGATAGTGCTCAATGCACATGTTAATGGCTGCTAAGGGGGAATGAGAGACAGGAGCATTCGGCCTTTAGGTAACGCGCACGCTGCGATCCCCGTTAGCAGCTATTGGCATGTACATTGAGCACGATCTGACAAGAAAGGCTTGCTACGTTATACTCGCTGGGTGTAACCTCCTTGGTTTTAGAAAGGTTTAGCGAGTGTTGGGCCGCATAGCCATGAATACAGTGAACTAGTATATACCATGAACTCGAGGTGGTTAAAGGTGGGAAGTAAACCCGAAGCGCAAGCCGTAAGAAAGTGTGCATGTGCCACCTCCCGTTTAGTCCTTGAAATGTCCGCCGGATGGCGGTGCTTCTATATGGAGAATATATGATGAAAAGATGCGAGATGGTGGTATTTGGAGTGCTGAATAGATGGACGAACGGACACACAGACAGATGCATGGATGGATGCATGAACGGACGCAGGTGCGGATGCATGGACGAACGCAGGGACGGACGCACGAACGGACGGGTGGATGGACGCATGGACGGTTACACAGACGTACGCAGGAAAGGGCGGAAGCAAGAACGAATGGACGGACGAATGCTCGCCCCACTCCCCATCATTCACTCCGTGGATATGCTGCCATTTTTTTTTTTTCGTTTGCTTCAGGGTGAAAGGGGAGACAGGGACATTTTATAATGCTCATTTCATCCAACTGTATGTGCTTCAGTGAACCCACCCCTCCATTGATAAGCCAGCGGACATGTCAATGTTTACGGAAAGAATGTATGAAAAACAAGGTACATGCTTTGTTAAAGAATGTTTCTATTGACAGTAAGCCCGTGGTAAATAGTGTATGCACATAGCTCGCTGTTAGTGTGATGAACAGCATGAGCGGCGTTAATGCTACGCGCTGTTGAGTGAGAGGTTACTGGTTCAAATGTGCGTGGGTACCTTCAAATTTTTCTTCTGATTAATTTTTAGTTGTGCCTTTTATGGATGATAAACACGTACTTATACATATCCGGGACATAACAGCGACGACAAAAATCAGCCGAAAGTGTCTATATAATTGAATTTTAAAAAAGGCAGTCGACAGTGCTTAGATATGGTCGAGTCTTCTCGTGGTGTTGATGCACTTCGCTGAATTCATATCAGCTATTAAAAACGATAATTCAGTCCTTGTCGTTATGAGAGCAAAAATCATATTTAGTGAACGTCAGCGCGCGAGTGGTACAAGTTACAGCATGCGGAAAAGAACTCAGATTCCGCTATCTAAGGACGGCGAAAACACATCCCGTCGGGACGAAAAAAAAAAAAAAGTTCTTATCATTTCTGTCTAAGCAACAGTTTTCGTCAACACTATATTGTCAACGCGGGTCTCCGATCGCAGTAATGCGTTCAACGTGAATGATTAGCGAGACGGTCCCCGTGAAGCAGGCTATGTATGGATAAGCACGTCTATGCATGCTGACGGCGACCAGCCACATGCCATTTCAAAAGTTTACTGTCACAGAAACTTTGTGAATGGCAAAATATTTCCTACTGATCAAGGGATGAATCACTCAGTAAGAGGATATGCATGGTGACATTCACATAGCGGTGGATGAGCAGTCGTCGACTCCGCGTAACTGGCGGCATTCAGTGGATCGACGGCTCCGCGCGGATATCTCCGCTATGCTCACTACATAAAGAATAAGCGCACTGCAGTGCGCCCCCACTCATATAGGAAGCTAAGCTTTGCTATAGCTACTGCCACTTTACTTCGCGTTAATGAAATGACAATTTTGAAAGGAATGGGTCAATCCGGCGGCGTCATTGGCAGATATGCTGGCCCGGCAGAGTTTTTCGTGCACCGTGCTCTGCATGGCGTGCAGCTGCGTACACGTATACAGTACCCACAGGTATCATTCAAAGCAACACACTTCACACTCTTCATCGCTTTCAGTTAGAGGTCCGCTTAGGTGATCTTTGTGCTGCCATGAAAACATGTTTTATCCCCTTTGCCATCGCTGGCGATTGCCCCTGCAAGGGATCGAACACCCGTTGCATGAAGTATTACTGTAGCTGATCGGCCCATAGCTCACGCAGAAAGCTTGTTATGATGCAGTATTGCTGTATTTAAACCCTGATACCATGCGTGATGTTATACAACCTGAACTCGCGAACACTTTGAACTATATACACATTGAAAGAGAGCGTCATTTGCCACTCCGTTGACTTGATTGAAATTCGAGATTGATATCCTTTTAAATTTGAAAACACATGAAATATCCGAGTATCCTTTTGCTCCAGGCTGATTTTTTCGTATCCCATCACACATCACATGAACCAACCATAACGATTCATTAAAATAGGGCTCATAAAGCTCGTTGATGCAGCTCGCGGGGCAGCCGAACGTACCGAGTACTCCAAGCACCGGCATACACTGCAACAGCGGTGGCATAGTGCAACTCGCGGTGAGATCGGTCTATGCTGCTTCACACACAAACTTGTTAACCTTCACATAACCTGCGACAGCAGCGCACTTCGGGGAGCGATTAGACCAGGAGGCTGGCGCTACCCCGACGCCGATTGGAATGTGCCGTACCAGGCAAGAAGGTGTGCAAATTCAGCCCCATATATTGTCATATTGGGGGGCTTCCCTCCCCCACCCCCATGAAGGGGAGCCCTGTGCTCTCCTGATTGCTCCCTTTACCGCCAATCCACTGTTCGAAAGCGCGCTAATTCGCTTAGCCGGCCGCTCTCTGTGGCGCGCTTTCCGTGTGCAAGCTTGGTGCCATAAGAACACTGGCCCCAGCAGAGATTTAGCTTGCCCCGCTCTTCCTCTGATCCGTGGCAGCGGTGAATCTTCGTTATGTCGAAATTACGGAAAAACACGCTTTCGTTATATTAGGGTCGCCACTGGTCAACCATCTCCGCAGACGTTCGGCGGATTTCGTGCCTGACGGTTGTCTTGTCCGCGAAGTTATCTCCGCTCGCAGATCGAGGCCCCGTCTATACGGACTTCTACAACCGTCTCTCAACCAATTACTTTTCTCTCAATCTTTACTTCTCTATCTTTTTTTCGTCCCTCCCTATCTCTTGCGATATCTAGATACTGCTGACGTAGAAACCATCATGAGTTTCAGCAACTA